CTAGTATCGAGGCAACAAAGTGTATTCATTGTAATTCAGCATTATTACCTATAAATAAATAGTTGTTATTGTAACTCGGTGTCTCTGGTTTTTCTTTCCGATCCCCTGATTCCATAGGCATCCACGCACACGTGCGCATATTCGTCGGTGAAACGAAGTCGTAACTGGTTCACGGTACAACGAGTACTGGGAATCTCTCGGACACCTAGAATCCTGATTAGCGGCAATTAGAAAGTCGTTTCACTTCGGAATTGGAGAGACTCGCGGGCCTCTCGATCGCACGGAACGCTTCCCTCTGCGCCGCTCGACGGGATTTCTTCGATCGGATTAACGCCGATCGATCGGCTGCGATTCCTGGACAAGGGTCGTTTTTCTCGGTGGTTTTTGTGGGGAACTTTCGATTCGCTTTTTACCGAATTTTAGATTGGATTGGTAGATTTTTTGGTTTCTAACCTTGCTGTTTTTATTTTGAAGACATTGAGTATAGAGAAATCTGAAATATACTATTTGAAGTTCAATGACACACGACGTGAGATACTTTGAACCCTTGCACTCGAGAGGTGACTCTCAGTCATTTGATTCGATATACCGAAATTGTAAAATCTTACACAGAATTATTATTATTAAGCTTCGTGTCATCTATGAATATGTGAAATATTGAAGTAGTATGTGTTCTATTGTTCACTTCGTTTCAAGGAGTGTCCTATATAACTTATTAAAAAATTGAATATTTCTACAAGCTTCCGAGTGCAAAGGGTTAAAGAACAAAGTTTCGAAAAAACCTTCAGACGAAGTAAAACACCATCAAATTCGCTGAAAACCACGCGAGTCACAATAATACAATGAAAATCACTCGGCCCTGTTAATTACTCGCAAATAATTCACCGAATCACCAAGTAACTGCGCACCGAAAAAAAAAGAACAGAACGCGTGCCGCACGAATTCTCGTCTTACGTCGGCGAAGGTTCGAGGGAAAGGGTCGGCGTTCCAATTACCGTATCCTAGGGGGTCGCAGCGATAGATTCGTTGGCCGTGTTCGAACCAGCCCAGTCCAGCAACGGTCAGATTAAAGGCCGCGCCGTTCGCCGCGGCGGTCGTCGTGCGACGATGCATTCTTATCAATTTCCAGGGCCCGGCTAACGACTCGAGGCACGCGACGGCCGGCCATTGGTCGAGCGAGGCTCCACCCTTTCGACAGGGAATATATTTTAATAATAAATAACGAGGATCCGGCGCGTATGGCACCGACTCGCGGGACTCTCTCGTTGCCCACTTAATTAAATCGGCCGGCGAACGTCTTAATAGGCCCCCGGGTGGATCTATGCGCGCGTAGATCTTGTAACGCGCGGTCACGTAACGACCGGCCGCGAGAAAACATGCCACGCGCCTAGATTAATCGGCCTTCCACCTCCGTGCCGCCTCCCGCGCCCCTTTCTCCCCCTTTTCCTCTCTTTTCCCGCTTCCACGGGAGTCGCAGCGACGAGTCGCTCCCTCGACGGCTCCTCCTTTTTTCCATCCGACGTTCGAACCGGCGCACACCGCGACCAAATATGGTCGTTTTCTAGAGGATGCTCACTTACCCGACGCTATTTCTACGGAACCTGTCGAACGACAGCTTTGGACGTCTTACCTTGAAGTGATCTTCTCGGTTTAATCGGTGTTCCTCGCTGGAACTTCGGACGTTCTGTAGTCAACCCCTTGTCCTGCAACGAGTGAAGATTTTCAACGTGATTCGACAAATATATATTACTCAGTTAATTACAGTTCAAAGTAAATATTATTTCTCTATAATCAACCATTATACTTAACCAGTTAAGTGTGGAATTTAGTTTGAGAAATCTCTCATTGCGCACAAGAATTACATGTTTGTCTGAAAAAATAAATAATCGATCGTTGGAAAAGTACCATTAAGAGTTTTAAGATGACGTGTATACTCGTCAAACACAGTTAACTGGTTAAAAGGAAATATAGGCGTAGCATATGCTTAGAATTTTTCTCTTTCTCCAAGAAATTATTAACGACAAAGTAGCCGTATCGATGAGCGTTGAGAAAGAAATCAATTTCGGTAAAAACAGTGTCAAAAAGTGTCAGATATGTAATCTCTATAAAAATTCTAACAATAGATTATTTTCAGTTTCTCTGGATATTCATCATAGTGCTCAAGTGAAACTATTTATTTCCAAAATCATTTCAAATATTCAATGCTTTTAAGGTATCAATAACTGCCTGGTACGGTAGTTCTAGCGTTAACATATATTTTTGTTACATTCCAGGAATATTATAAAGTTTCTTCAATAACAACAGGTATTTCCAGCTTCGAAGCTAACGTTACGTAAACAGAGAAATGGAAACGTTCCACAGAAAATTGTTTCCCGAATGAAAATCATTCTGTATAGTTAGCGACACATCAACTCAATTTTCGCTGTATGAACAGTCGGATTTCTAAGGCACGTGCGGCGACGGAAAAGGGAAACTCGAAGCGTCTCGATGCAAATCGAGCGCTTCTCCGCCCCCGGTTTCCACGACCCCTGCGCCGGGAATCATAAAGATAACCGAATTGCTCCGCGACTCGACTTTTATTCCACGGACATATTGCCCGACAATCATTCCCGCATTTGCATAATTATCGAATAAAACGCGGCCCCCGGAGCCGCCGCTAATGCTCCGCGGGCCGCGAGCACGACTAATTTCATGCTCTCGAGTTTTTCTGCGCCGCGGGGGTCTCCCTGCCGGGCGACCCCTCTTTTTCCGGGTCGGGGTTTCTTTCTTATGGACGACCGTCTTCGTCTCTTCCGTCGTCTCTCGGGCGGATCGACGGTCCTCTCTTTCTTTTATTTCTCTTTTTGATGTTCGGACAGTTGGCGGGGGTGGGTTTTTCACGGACGCCCTCGTTCGTTTATTCGTCGCGGCCGATTGGCTTAATTCTCCCCCCGGAACGGGTGGTGTTCTTCCTAATTAGAATCGCAACGAGCCCTCGTCTAATGCTCGTCTTTACGGTGATGCTTCTTCTTATCGTTTTATTCCACTCCGAAGTTCCTCGCCTGCGATTTGAAGAGTGGAGCGAGTGGATTGTAATTAGAAAATCGACTTGGGCGGAGTCGACGTCGACGACAGTTCCTATGATTCGAGATCATTACTCTTCTTCTTTTTTTGTTCATTTTATTTAATTACTATTAACCCTTTGCGGACGAACGTCGACATTTCGGCGAGATGAAACGTTCATATTTAGAAGACTAAGTCGTGGAAAAACGATCTAATTAGTGGAACAGCAAGAGATCAGCACGCAGTTTCCTTTTTTCCTATCGATTAAGCAATTGATATATAATTTAGCTTCTCGGCGAGATGAAACGTTCATATTTGAAAGACTAAGTCGTGGAAAAATGATCTAATTAGTGGAACAGCAAGAGATCAGCACGCAGTTTTCTTTTCTATCAATTAAGCAATTGATATATAATTTAGCTTCGTATGTTAAAGGTTTCGTATGTTTTGAAGAATCTTCGTCCTCAAAGGGTTGAACCTCGATGGAAAATCGCTGTTGTCAACACACGAGACACTCACACTATCAGCAGAACATGGATACTTCCATCCCCCGTAAACTTTTTCGAGAACAATCGGAGGGTGAGCGTGGCCAGGGAAAGGGGGTGGGAATTTAAGGAACGGGAGGATCCCGCGGGACATGCCCGATTGCTCGGCCAGCGTTTCGTCAAGATGTCACCGCGTTTAACGAGGAGAGTTAAGCGGAGGCAAAACAAGTCATTTTTATCGGGGGTGACGCGACGCGAAACGACGCGCACCCTCGCGAATTATGCTAAACGATTTTACCGAACTACGGGAGTTGCGCGGCGGCTGCGGGACGTCTCTCTGTAGCTTTCCCGCGCGACCAATGGGGACGGGCAAAAAACAGCCGGCGGCGGCGGCGGGATTCCGCGCGGAAACTTTCATGACGTCGAAGAAACGGACGCGCGCTGCTCTAGCCGGAGAGCGACGTAAGATTTGCAATTATAATTACACGCCGGCCTCGAAACGCGGCCGCGGTTTTTCGGCCGTTCGAACGTTTTAACGGCCGCGCGCGCGAATTCCGCGCGCTGACTTAACGACCGAATTCTGCTAGGCCGGGACGAACGACGGACAAGAAACCGAACGCGAGAAAGCGCCTCGGCAACTTCGAACGCTGTGCGTTTAACTGGGACCTCTTTCTTGTTTCTGGTTTAGCGTTGCGCTCTGCGACCGTGCAAAAAACATGGATTTCCGAGATGGTCGTGCGAATGGATTTCGTTTGGTATTTATCGGGGCTTCAACCCCTTGCTCTACCATGTCGGACTCGTGAAGATTTCAAATAGTATTTAATAAATATAATTAATGTGCAAAGAGCCTGGATTTCCGAGATGTTCTTGCGAATGGATTTCGTTTGGTATTTATCGAGGCTTCAACCCCTTGCTCTACAATTTCAAATAGTATTTAACACTAGAACTACTGTACCTCAAAATGACTAGTTTCGATTTTTTCTAACAATTATTGATATCTTCGAAGCATTGAATATTCGAAATGATTTTGAAAATAGTTTCATTTCAGTACTATAACGTGAGGAAACTGAGAATAATCTATTGTTACAATTTTTATAGGAATTGCACATTAATCGTATTATACGCTCGGTCGTTCTAATGTTAATAAGTATAATTACTAATTAAATATTATTTTTCTTATTAATCATAATGCCTCTGAGTAACCGTAGATTTTGATAAGCGTAGAAGTTTCCTCCGTTAATAATGAATTATGAATAATAAAGTATCTCCGTTGAAAGCAATTTGGGAAGGAAATCATAGGGCAAGTGGTAAATAGGGATCGGTGAGTCGAGACGTTGATTGAGTTAATCTGTCCAGAGTTAATTGTAGTTTTCAATGTAATTTGTCGAGGAATCGTTTGTGAGGGGAACTGTAATGCGCTCGATGAGAGTGTCTTTCAGGTTTCATTCTGGTTAACGCGAATTTGATCGAGTATCTGGTTATTATGTACCGTAGGCGTTCAACGGGCAAGAATTGTTCATGACCGAGCAGCGGATATTCAAATACAAATTGCCGGTTCGAAAATGGAATTTAATGCGTCCCGTGCAAAATAGTTTCAGCGGATTGAAAGTAAGAAAAGGATTGGGCTCTCGGAATTGATGCTTGTAGCTTATTATCACCCGGCGATTTTTACAACCAATAAATTCGTTAATGCGGTGCCAGGCCTTTCACATTTTTCACTAATAATATTTCAGATAGCCGGCGGATGTTTGCGCATTTATGGGCCATAAAAGTTTTCAAGAAACAGTAAAACACTGGGTTCGATATAATTAAATACAGTCGGAATTATTCCCCATCTATCACGATTCTAATTAATTCCACTCTCGACCGGCATCCTCGTAAAACATTCGTCTAATTATAAACACTATTAAACACCGTTTTGCGCCTTGGAAATGCAGCTAAATAATATTCAACGGACAGCCCGAGGGAAACCTAGTCTCGGCTATCATATTTTAAGGGATGAAACGTCTAACGCGTGTCTAAAAGTTACCAAGCATCATCTATCTCGATGATCGAGTAAAAGCTAGAACACTCTTTAACACCAGAACTATCTTACAATTATTGATATATTAACCCTTTGAACTCTGTAGGCTCCAATATTGCACCAGTTATAATATTAAATATTTTAATGAATCTTGAAACTACTCTAAAATTCATTTTCGCTAGGAATACTATAAAAATTAGTTGCAGTTGCTAGATTACAAAACAACCTAGAGTGCTAAGGGTTAATAGTGGAATATTGATGATTAGTAGTACCTTAATATAGTATTTTCCTTTATTTTCTGTGTAAAGAATGATCGAAAGTTTGCATTTCAAAATTTTGGAATCTTTGGATCATAGGATCCTCGAAGTTTTCTTCAGTTGTTGCTAGCTAACAAAACAACCTGGAGTACTAAGGGTTAAAAGCATTGAATATTCGAAATGATCTTGAAAATAAACAGCTTCGACTTGAATACTATAATGAATATTTGAAAAAACCGAAAATAATTTATTAGAATTTTTATAGGGATTATCAGTCGTATTAAATCCTCGGTAGTTTTAGTAAAATGATTCTAAAGACTAAAATCTTCACCCAACATCGATCACATATTGAAAGGGTTGAGACGCGCGAGGAAAGTCGAAGAGCCAAGGGAAATCGTCGAAATCAGCCGCACCGAATAACAAACTTACTGTTCACCGGAATAATTCCAGAGGCCGGTAACTCGGCCACGGATTTAAGAGGCCGGGAAATCCGATGAAGACGCGAGGGACTTTGATCACGGGACAAATCGGCGGAAGGGGCGCCCCAGCATCCCTCCCCCTGCCGCCCTCCGGCGAAAGCAGTTTCTCGGGTGAAAAGGCAAGAAGGAAGGTCGTTTACCGACTGCCTCGTTATCTCCTGATCCGAGTGCAAACGAGCGGAAGGGAATCCTTCGTTTTTCCCTATTTCGGTCACGGTCCGACTCGACATCCACTAGTCGAGATCACATCGCGGGTTACACGTGTATGAAAGTCAAGTTGGAAGATCGCTCGACTAGACCGAGGAACGCGAGTTTGGCTGCTCGGTTTCTGTATGATCTCCTTTTCGATTCTAGTTTGCTATTCGTGGATGCGTGACTAATCGAAATAAACAAACTTGCAGAACTGAGAGAAGAATGTCC